AAAGCAATATTTAATGGGATCTGCAGTCTATTTAAAGCTTTCAACTCTGTTACCTAAAACTAAAAACAGGAAAAAAAAAAGCTGGAGCAGTCAAAACTTGTTACAAATGAAAGCTACAGCTACAAAATGAATTGATGAAATAAGATCTTTGTTGGGAGTATTAAACACATGAGATAGTTGAAATTATACGACCTGCACAGTGGAGTCAGGGAATCAACTGGCTTAACCCACCGGGTTTTAACCTCCTGGTGTTTTCACTTCCTCAGACCCTCGTGATGTCTCCTGTACTTTGTCTGGGTGCCTGGAGCAGTCCTGATGCAGATCTCCTTACCTGCTTGCCTCCTGCTCCCAGAGCACTCCCATTGCTATGCTGGCAAAAACAGCTCAGCCATGAAAAAGTTGTGGGAGTAAGGAAGATAGAAGAAAGAAGCCACTTGGCTAAATACTAGGATTATTTAGCCTGAGAAATTACAGTTTTAAATACCACTGGGCTACTGACATTTGCAGCATAATATCACTTAAGAATTACACAGACCCCACTTTCCTTGGGTCATAAGTACTACAGAGACAAGAGCATTTCATCTAAGCATGTCTGAAAATCAAAGTACTCCATATAAAAAGCATTAATTATTTTTCCTCATATTTGGGGACAATTTCTGTCCTCCCTTTCTTGCCCCACCTCAGAGTGCTGAAATAAATGTAATGGTGCATTTTGTTTTAAAAGTCAGATGTGGTTCAGTGAACAGGCTGACATGCTATTTCATGAGTGAAAAGAAGCTATGATTCAATATAATTTTCCCTAGCTAGATTCCTAGCTAATGTATCTGGGGATAGTTTAAGCCTGTGTTCACTGTAAGGCACCTGCATTATATACCGTTTGCCCCTCTCTATTTTCATAGAGTATAGGCGAAAAATTATCTGTATTTCTTACACCTGCTGTGCAACAATGGTAAATCTCTCTATACTCACAGATGTAGAAATACTCCCGGCCTGGCCTGAACTCAAATCCCAGCGAGAAAGGCGTGAAGAGCTGGAACTTTTCTGAGAACTTCAATGGTCCATTTGGGGAATGTGGCCGATTGCACTCCCACCTCTTGAACCCTTTGGAAGTGTGATCACAGGAGCTGTAGCCATCAAAGTTCACCATGTACAGCACATAGCGTTCCGTCTTATCTTCTGGCACCGAATCTTCATAGTGAGGGCAGAACACATCCAGGTAGTCATTGATGCAGACATCGATGTGGTAGTCACCTCGCTGGAATCTGAAATCACAAGAAGAGTTCAAACGTAAGCACAGTTATCTCAGGATGACCCTGCTGCAGGGTGACATTCTCATACGAAAGGGCATCTCTAATGGCACTTCATTTCACTCCAGCCATGCACATTCCCTCTCAAAAACGACCCTTACAATTCACCAGAGCTATCAGAGATTTATTATGCAGTAATATGACCATACAACCTTTTGGATAAAGGTTTTGCTCTACTCTTTCACAAAGTAAGCCTGTTGCTATCACCCACCCATTTATAGGCTATCTTTCTCTATGGTTGATCAAATAATAATGAAAGTATCTGTCTTGTTTGGCTGAGGGTTTTTTTAATTGAAGAAAGATAAAAGAACCAAAGAAACCGAAACTGTATCAGCTTCCCCAAATCAGTGTCTGTATAAACATCTGTATATGCATGCAAATAAATAACCCAAACATATCCTTTTCTCTGAATCGCACAGTAATCACCCCTGTGCTGAAAGCTGATGTACTTATAGTTACTACAAGAATACAAACAGGTTACTCTTTCATCGTAATAAGCAACAGTTTGTCAAGATGCAAAGAAAAGTCTGTATCGCTTTTTAAAAAGACTTGAAAAGCAGTGCTTCTCCTTTGCCAAAAGCACACATTAAAATGTTGCTCTGTTCTGATAAAAGGATTCTGGGATACAAATTATCAGCACTCAGCCTAATGTGACAGCTGAGAAATGCAGTGCAAGGCACCAACCCAGATGCATTTTATTATTGCTGTTATTATTACTGATGACTCCTTAGAGATGTGGGATTCTTGTTTGTTGGGGGTGGGGAGGATTTCCTTGTTTCTCCCCTGCATGTTTTGCTTGCATTACTTTTCTAATGCCTGCCATAGCGTCTGGAAGAAACTATGGGGACAAATTCACTGCCTTCATGAGAGCTTATACTATGATGGATTTAACGATTCGATAAACCAGGTCTGTGCATTTATTAAACTCCCTGGGGCAGCCAAAGAAACCAACCACTGACCTACTCCACTTCAGGCTGACTGGGCTACTTGCAGCTTCTCTCTTTCACAGCTGCAGTTGTCAAGTGTACCACAGAGCAATAAAAAGGCCATGACAGATTTAACTATAATACTTCTTTTTAGCTGAGGGGCATATTTTAAACACCTGATGGGCTTGAAATCTGCCATCTGGATCCTTCTGTCTAATTTCAGAGAAAAAGCAATGATTTTCTGGCCCTCCAAGGATAAATTCAGAGCAAACGACACCTTTTCATATCCCTACAATAATTTAGCTTCAATAAAATAGTTTTTAAAGGGGAAAAACTGAATACACATCAAAAATGATAGATCTGTATAATTTCAGTCAGTGCACAGCCTCACGGTTCCACTCTGTAACATGGAAAAGCCTTTTTTAACCAAGGTTCTTCCAGGAGAATTTACATTGATCAAAATTGTTGGTCAAGATACATATTTTTGTACTCCAGTGCTTTCAAAATCTGTCACCTGAACAGATAATGTCTTAACACATCTGCAAAAATTTATTGTTTTTAAATTGGCATCTGTTCTCTGAATCAGTTAACAGTATGCTTTTCTTACAGGCAATGAAAAAGAATGTAAGATACAAATAGAAAAGATGCATTCAGGCAATATTATCTCTATTTATTTTTTCAATTACAGTTCTAGTAAGTAAAAATTGATACATACTTATATATAACTGTGTTTGTGTGTGGACAGTTTGGGGGTTTTTTTTAACTATGTAGGTGATAAACAACTCAGTTTTCTTAGAAGATTCTCAAGGTTACCTCTTTTATCAGCCTGTGCCTTCACCATAATGCCCAGTTACAGTTCTGGAACACAAACTACATGCTTCCAGAATTATACTTATGTAATACAGTCAACAGACTGACCCTCTCTAGCATTAGACTTTTACAACACAAAAGATTTTATATGAACTGCTTTTCTATATTCTTTTAAAAGTCAATGGAGAGCAATAGGAACTTCTGATGTTCAATCCATACAGCCTCTTTACTACTGTAATAAGATGGATCACACTTTCAGGAGCAGCTAATTCTCTCCTTTAACCAAAAGGAGAGTCTAGAGAGACCTTTCCCAGACAGTGTCTGTACTGTAAATAGCTGAATTTGAAGAGAAAAATCCAACTGCACACCCCACAATAATGGAGATGATACGTACAGGGAGACAGACAACTAAATGTGTGATCACACCTTGATTCCAATTCAGCAATGAAATCAAACTTGTAATCGGCATTAGTGAGATGGTGCAGAAAAAGAAAAATCAAACCTCATCTGACTCCCTTTTAGCAAAGTTTCCCTCTGTATTCTTGTTAAATAACCAAAACCACAATGTAACCATCCTTTTTGATCCCTGGTATTTTAGTAAATTCCTTCTTGTTTCTTTTTTCCTAAGTGTTGAAACAGTTGAGTGTCTTCATTCAATCCAGCACAACCCAGACTCTGAAGTGCTGCCTGCAAAGCAGGTCTGAGAATGAAGCACACCATCAAGTCCTTTTTATCCCAGTGTCCTTTCCTCCCTGTTACCCTGTTTTCTCAACAGTTTCATTCGTCAGTCATCTGCCACAGGTAGGAAGTATTTACATTTGAAAATCTAAAAAGGGAAGGAGATTGTGCATATTTTAAGTGATCTAAACTGGCCTTTAGCCAATATTGTTGGCATAGGAGTGAAACTCCTCCAGGGAAAATATGTACTAAGGTATTTTATCAAGCAGCTCTGAGTGAAGTCTCTTTACTCCAGGTTATTAACCAACTATGAATCAGAGAGAGAGATAGAGAGAGCAGGTATTTATTTCCCGTCTTGCCATATCCTAAAGAAGTCAGTAACCAAAACCACAGCAGATATGCTAAAGAGATGTGGAACTAATTTTTTGTTTCCAAAAGAGACTACATCTCCAAATTTTCTGTTAGAGTGAGCTGACCCCATTCGTGTTTCTCCAGCTACAACCAGCACGTTAAAAGAAACACTTCACAAACACGCTTTCAAGAATTTATAACCATATTTGAGTGGAAAGCACTTAACATTTATAGGCTGAAAAACTCTGACTTAGTCAGGTGAAACAAAAATTCAATTTCAAATTAAAGTACTGATCAACATTTAGGCATTTACACACACTGAAGATTGAAATGTCTACAGGGAAGATGGAGTCTATTAACAGACATATTTGGAGATACGACAGGAACAGCAGATGTCCTTTCCTTTTCCAGTCCCATTCCAAACAGAAAACTTCCTAGTATATTACTGCTACACTTTCTCTTTTCCCAATTAGGTCTTCATCCTGTTCTGGCAGGTCCTCACTCAAACTCCCATGTCTTTTGGAACCATGTGGTTAACAGGATCCGTAATTTAGGAACAAACCAGCTTTGTCTCGATTTTGCATAACAGAATATGGTGTTGTGGTAGAAACTAACCAAAAAGGCTTCTCCAAAAATCTGACAGAATCTACACACCTTTTCACAAATAATGTCCATGCACTCTAGCTTACACACAGCAAAATACTGCTAACATAATTAACCTTTGGTTTTTGTCAGGTGGCATGCAAACAGTTTCTTGGGAAGATGCACACTACAAAGGCAGCTATTAGGCAGTAGCGTTATAAAAGCCATTTTGAAGACAGACAATTAAGTAGTTTCTATACCTAATATTTCCATAACCAACAAATATCAGCTTGCTACACAAAACTTGAACACTGCTTCCAGCAAAGCCTGTCAGAGGAATATTTCTGTGCTAAAGTACTACTGATGAAACATCCAGGTATTCAGGATGCAAAGAGAGAGCTTCATGGCTATTTTAACCACAGAAAAACAGGACGAGCAAAACATTTTGTAAATAATTAGTGCCTTCTGTATTCTGTTTATCCATTAACAAAGGGAAAGTACATGGTCTGTGTGCATGCTTTTCTTCATAATTTTAAGTTCTGGAGCCTAAGTGACTCATCTTGAACTTAATAACTTTGCTGGTCACTGGAAAAAGTAACAATTTATTTAAACAGATATTTAAAACAAAGTAACAATTTTGTTTGGTTTCTCTCTTTCTTCTGTGGAATAAATGCTACAAAAATCTAGTTTAAGAACAGCATAAACACTAATTGTTCATTTAGATAGATAAAAAATTGCAATAGCTTCTGCTTGCTACTTCCCCTAAAAATCCTATTAATTATATTCTATTGCCCTTCCTGTAAAATCAACACACCAGATGCTCTACTTCAAGATAAGTGTACTGGAAAATTTGCCTTTTACTGTATCAACCTTTCTTTATTTGGAATCTGTTCTGTCAAATGCATGAAGCAAGGCTTCACTGTGAAACAGAAATTACTCCAAATGACTGCTATGACAACAAATTACGAAATTCTGGTCTTCAGTTGGAAGTGATCAGATGCAATGGCCCCCGTACTGATGCCTGGTGCCTACACAGCCTATTGACACGAATGTGCAGAGGACACTGCCACTGCCAAATGCCTTACCCCTGTCACCTCTTTTCTCAAATGATAACCTGAAATGTAAAACAACAACAAAATTCACCAAACTGATATATTCTTGGGGTAAATACAAACTGCAGTTACCCACAGTTCTTCAGAACAGCACAGCAAAATGTTACTTGCTCTGTTTCCTAAGGAAAAAGGCTTCTGTCAGCAGCATGTGCATACCCCTATGAATGCTGGTCACTCAACTGCTCCGTTTTTACTCTCATGGACGCTAAGCCACTTTTTAATTAAATTTAATGGAGACTGACCTTTCAGAGAGAAGTCCATTCCTACAAATACCATGAAAAAAACAGGCCAGGTGAGAAGATCCCATAGGTATGCAAACAAAGGCTGAATCTCCAGTAGGTTAAATGTTATTAGACAACAGAAACACCTCTTACAAATGCTCTAGGCACAGGAAAACTTGAACTGGAAAAATATAGAAATAGATTGAAATTTTTTTGTCAACTGCTTATGAAACTATTTGCTATTTATTATTAACAGTGATATGAGTATTGGTAGT